AAGATGTTCAAAGCACCATCCCGCTGAGGGTGGGAACAAGGTCCGGGAACAGCCTTCTCTGGTTCTTCACCTGGTCAGAGCCGAGCCTCCCAGGTGCCACCTCCTCCTGGCAGCCCGCAAAGATTTGCTCAGGCAGGGGCCACCAGGCTCCGCACCCCAGCACCTCTGTGCTCTCCTGTCCCGCTCCAGAGACAGTGAGCTCCCTAGAGGCAGAGAAGCAGGGGATGGCGTTAGCACGGCCAACATTGGATCCTTGCAGACCGCCAGGATGTGAGCAGAACGGGACGGGAAAGCGGCTGCTGGAAGGGCCGTGGGGACAGCACACACGAGAAACCCGCACCGGAAGCTATGATTCATGCCCGTGTAAAGTCCACACGGGATGGTTTATTTCTGGGATCTCTGCAGCCAGAACGCGGGGATGGTCTCGGCACAGTTTGAGTGGAAAGACTGGTCAGATCTCACGAGGCCCAAGGCTAACACCGCTGGTGACGCTGATACCAGGCTGTTCTTTTGTGTTCCTGCTCGTTTTAGTAAAAGTAGAGCCTTCCCCGCAATCGTGCAAAGACTACAAAAGGGAACTCCCCACTAGCTGCGGAAGAGCAATTAGCAAGCCCATCTCGTTTACTTCAGCTCACTTTGGGGCTGGGAGGGCTCCCTAACTAGTAGTTTTAGGGCTGTTCTTATCTTAATTATCATCATTTATAAGGGATGTCTGCTAATACAGTCAAATTTTAGGATCCTCACCTCACATACCAGCAGCCCGGCATGAAGGATTCCACTCCAAGCAGGAAACGTAGGACCCAGAGAGGAATCGCGGCTCCATCCCAGTCTGGTGGCCCTTTCTTGCCGGGGACGGTTTTGCCTTGGGAGGTGGGACCCACGGAGGCTGTGTGACTTCTGTGTGCTTCTGTCCCTCCCGCGTGGCCTTGGGTAAACACTCGATCACTTACTGTGTGTCCACAGCTGATGGGGAACCAAGGCCCGTCCCGGGCCCGCACAGAGCTCACACCGCACGTGGCTGACGCGCTGTCCCGAGGCTCCCCGAGTACCCCCAGCTCACGAAACGGGTATGTGGCAGGAGGGGCTGACTTCCAACAAGCCACTAAATTCCCCATCCATGCGCCCGCTGGCCAAGGATGGGTCGGGCCTGCACACAATTGGAAGGTGGGTCTAAAAACCACTTGGGCTCCACGCTGTCCAGCTCCTCTTGGATTTGGGGAGGTTTTCACAGAAATGTTGGCAAAGCTGACCCTCAGGATAGACAGATTTTATGTTCCTGTCCTCGGAAAAAGAGCTGAAAAGAAGCAGGGAGGAGGGGGGGGTGGCAGGGAGGACCGAGGCTCTGAGACTCGCCGGGGCCCTGAGGCCTGGGGAGGGGGCGGCCCCCAGCGGCGGGGGGGCTGACAGGACCCGGCCTGCGCCCACTTGGCCAGGGCCCCCTGCAAGCGCCGAGCCAGTACCAGAAGGGCCCCTTCTCAGCACAGCCCCTGACCGCAGCCTGTAGCCCGCAGAGCGAAGTCTGAGCGTGGGGCTGGGTGAGGAGGCCTTCGTCGTGGCCCGAGGGTACCTCAGGCTTTAAGAGGGCATTTTTTCACGGCCTAAAAATGCTTTCTTCATTTTTCTCTGACAGCTGGTGAAGGAGGAATGCAACAGGATGGCCGCGCGGGCTTTGGGCAGACAGCGGGCTCAGACCTGGGCAGAGCCGCCTTTATCCCTGCTAAGAACGGGCTTTTAAAGGATACATTAGGGGAATATCTGGCCCTTTTACGTTCTGAGTGGACTTGGAGCACTTTCTTCTTCTGTTATTCGGGGGCAGAATGAGCTCTGTGGCCTCAGGGTCCTGGCACTTGTGCACACCACGTTTCTCTGGGACCCAAATCCTCCGTCACTTTGCCCAAGTCAGCCCCAGCCGTCAGCGGGCTCTAGCCCTGGATGTTCGGGGAGCACGGGGCTCTAGGCCTGCTTTGCCCCCAACACCGAGTGGCCAAGGACAAGCCTCCTGCTCTCCTGGCTCTCACTAAGTGTCCGTCGCTTCTTCACATGTGTCAAGACTCAGCTCAGACCTCACCTCCTCCAGGAAGCCTTCCTGACCTCGGTGTCCAGTATCCATATAGGGCATGGCCTAAAGCAGGCAGGTGTTCAGCTGACACCTGTGAGTGGGTCAGTGTCCGGTCCCAGGCAGTATGGGCAGCGTGGGGCTGCACATTAGTTCTCTTTGGGCCCCAGGAGCCCCCCCGCCCCACATCCTGCTGGTCACACAGAGAGCAGGTGTGAGTGGCCCCAGAAAACACTTTCTTCCTTTCCACTGACATACAGGGTTCCTAAGACGTTGCTTGAAATGAGAACTGCACCCCTAAAAACAAGTTGGCAGATACCCCGGCCCCACTGAGTTTCAGATGCCCGGTCCCAGTGTGGTTGTTTAACTCCATTCCCTTCTTTGCCCGAGGGAGACGATCGCACCCGTCCCTGAAGGTATTGGTGAGACCCAAGAGGCGTGCGGGGTAAACAATTTGGCTGCAGCTCGTGGGCTACTCATGCCTGGGCTCAAGTCCAGCAGCAAACCATCCACCACAGGTGGACAGGCCTGGAGCTGCGCTACCCCGGCCACCCCCAGGGGCCCAGGAGCTCCTGAGATGAACAGGAGTTATTTGGGGCAGAGGAGGAGAGGGAAAGAGGTGGGGCTAAGGAAATGCAAGGAGGAGACCCAAGCAGAGAGATAAGGCAGCCACCGGTGGGCAGAGACAAGAGCCCAACCTGAAACCCAGCCCAGGTCCCACCCCAGCCAGACCTTGCCATCCGGACTCCCCTGGCCTCAGTCCTCAATCTGGGAGCTGACATCAGCACGAGGACCCTGGGACCCCATGCCAAACCCCGGCCAGATGGATGCCCGGCGATCACAGCGAGGAGTGGAGGAGGCCGAGTCCGCCGGAAGCCGAATGAATTCCCCGGGGCTGGCCTGGGCCCTCCTCCACGCAGCCCCAACCCGGATTCCAAAGACCAGGGCACGCGTGACCAAGCGCAGTGAGGGACAGCACATTCCATTCCCAGGGGCTCCATTCGGTTCCCCACTCTGCCCTGAGGCACCGTGAGAAGCCTGGCACACCCTCTCGCCTCTCTGGGCCTCGGTTTCCCCCTCTACAAAGCAGTTGGAAAGAGATGGTCTCTAGGAGCCTCCAGGCTCCAACACGCCAAGATTTTCTGCCCCAGTGGATGGGAAGCTGCAAAACAGAGGCTCCCAGGTTGACCCTGTCTGGAGTACAGATGCGGCTGGAAACATGCACTGGTGGGCACTGGATCCGGGCCCAGCCGCTGCTCAACCCCCAGGCGTGGGTCACCCAGGAAGGATTGAGCCGGACCGTGAGGCACAAGCACTACAAGGTGCCACCCCCTAGAGAGGCCTCGTGGGGCCACAGAGCCCTGTCAGTCTCTTCAGTGTCAGATTTTGATGATCTGTTTTGGGGTCGTCGCTCTCCCCCGCTGGAATGCAAAGCCCCCCGGGGCAGGGTCTGCGCGGTGTTTATTCACCTGTGTCCCCGCAGTGTCCAGTCCGGGCTCCCGGACAGATGGGGGCTCAGGGACGGAGCACAAGGGAAAGAGAGAGCGGGTGAGGCAGAAGGCTCTGAGTCCGGCTCTTACAGTTCCAAAGCTGTGACTTACCCTGCAAGGGGGTGATTCACTGTGCCAGGGGGTGAGTTACCCGCCGTGAGGCAGTGTTGCTGCTCCCCCGCCGTCTCAGCCTCACGCACGGGGCTGGGAGGAGGTGGGCTTCTGGAGGCCAGTGTTGGCAGGTAGCGCTCACCACGACCCCCCAAACAGGACAAAGCCTGACCCTCCCTCCTCCTGTCTGCCCTCCTCCCCGGGGCCCTGACTGTAGGGCCTGTTCATCTAACGTGGGGGACACTGAGGCCCAGGGTGGGCAGTGACTCAGGGCAAGCAGCCAGTTTTAGGACTGCTGACAGCCCAACTGCATCCCTCCCCCTGGAATCCCAGTGAGGACTGATGTACCATTAATTGTAATTAACTAATTATTCCTGCTGCCAACTAGCGGAGGAGGCGGCTGGGGGTGGGGAGCCCCTAAATGACTCAGTCGTGTTTACAACATGCAAACCCATTTAAGAGCTTGTAAAGTCGCTATAAATGGCTCTCTGGCAACAGGGGAGTAACGATCCCGGGTCTCCAGCTGCCGCGGTAACAACGGTTGGCGCATCCGGGCGCAGGGACCCGGTTCGGAGATCCAACAGCGCCACCTAGAGACCCTGTTCCGAAACGCTCTGCAGAAGGGACACCGCTGGGATCCAGGGCTGGGACACCACAAAGTCCATGCCGCCCGCCCACAGTGGAGAAACTGAGGCCCATGCGAGGACAGGGCCTGGCTCTCGGCTGCTCATCTCTCATCTCAGAGTCTAAATGACCGCTGTGACAGTTTCTATCCCCCACGACCTCGAGGTCTCTAAAAGGCGACTGTTCAGGAGAGGTTTATGGGCGAGTGCCCTTCCCCCACTCTCTGCTCAAGGGTTGTGCGCCTGACCCACCGGGAGGGACATCGACTGGACACATGGCAAGGCAAGCGGTCTGGGGCTGAGGCCGGAGCGCAGGCTCAGACCCCTGTTCGCTATTCCCTCTGTCACGCCACAAGAATAAACTCCATCAGGTCCCACTGACCAGGGACTGTCCGAGCTCTGAGACAAGTGCGTCACCTGTGTGATATCGTCGGTTCATGACTGTGACACAGAGATCTAGTAAATCCGCCCATTCACAGGCAGGACATCGAGCCCCCCAGGGTGGCCCCCCGAGACCTAGCACACAGCCAGGAGCAGATCCCGCTCCTCGTCAGTAATTGCCTTGAGGGGCAGGAGGAGGCTCCAGCTGGCCCTGAGGGACAGGAGGGACTTAGGAGGGGACTCAGATGGGACCTGGGTTGGCCCAGAGAGGTTTCCCCAGCAGCCTAGTCTCACGGGCCTCCGTCGCCCAGGCGGACCTGAACGTGCCTGGCCACTCACCCACAGTCATGCCATCCATGTAGCGTTTGATGATATCGAAGGAGTCCCGCAGGTTCCCTTCCGTGATGTCGAAGATGATGTCGGCATGGTTGGCAGGATACACGGGCATGATGGCCCGGAGAAAGATGATCTCTGCGGGAGGGAGGCACAGCTTGGAGCCCCTAGAGACGCACCCTTGGGTCCCGAGAGCCCAGGGCCGGCGAGCCCCGCGTGGAGAAGGCAGAGGGGGCCGAGGGCTCACAGGTCATCACCTAGACGCCCGTTGATCAGTGGGGAAACTGAGGCCTGGAGAAGCTTTGGGTGCTCCCTGAGATCCTGTGGCTAATGGGCAGCCATGGCAGAGCTGAGGCACAGTTAGTCATTAGTCACAGATCTTCGTGGAGCTGGGGAGAAGGGGAAGGGGGGTGGATGCGGGGACAAAGGGGAAGAAGTCAGCAAGGGCAGGAGAGCGGGGTGGTCTGCTGTCCTGTGGTGATGTGGGTCAGAAAAGCCACTTTTCAGGGTGGACTGGGCAGTCTGGTGGCTGTGTCCATCTCCCCGGCTACCCCGCATAAAGCAGGGCCAGATGCCCTGGGCTGGGGGCACAAGGCCCTGATTCTACCCTGGCTCTGGGCGATCTGGAGGTGTCTTCTCTCTGGACCTCCATTTCCTCATCTGTAGAGTGAAGGAGGCAGACGGCCAGTGGCCGCTAAGGGTCCTTTCAGCCCTAAAGGTCAAGGTCAGGATTGCCTGGGGCCCAGATGTTAATAGACATCCCCAGCCACACTCAACTCCCTGTAGAATCCACTCCCAGACCAGCACTGCCCTAGAGGCCACAAAACCGGCTGTTAGGGGTTTCGGAAGGGTTTGTCTGTGGTTTGGTGGAACCTGTCATTTGGCACAAGACAAACACCAGACAGTGACTTCCTCCGATGCAAGCCCCTGCCACCCTGCAGAGTTTCTGGGCCTCTCCTTTTTCTAGAAGAACGGGTCAGTGTGGGGGGGGGATAGGGGGGATGGGCTGCCCGCTCTTTCAGGCAACCATATCCTTGGGGAGCCTCTCCTGCCCTCAGCACTCCCTCCGCCCCCCACAACGGGGAGCTGTGTTCTGGCCTGTGCTCCCGTGTCTCCGTGGGAGGCTACCAGTGTGTAGACATGGGGTTCGGTCATGCTGGCTCAACTGCACCTCTCCCCTCAGGGGGCCAGGGAGCTCTTCCTGATTGCTGTGCCCCAGAGCCTGGTCCTGAGCCTGATATCCCGGAGGCCCCATCCACGTTTGCCCCATGAATCAATCATGGTACACTCCTCCCAAGGCCAGGGATGAAGACGCCACAGAGGAAGGGGTGGCCAGAGACCATGGCAGCCTCAGCACAGAGGCTGCACTCCCGGGAGCAAGGCGTCCAGGTGCCGAGAGGGTACCGAGATGCAGGTCCCACCCCTGCAGGAAGGGTGTTGTGATGGCCGGTCTATACAGCTGGCCAGGAGCCGCCTGCGGGGTGGGGCTGGGAACCCTGACTTTCTCCTGGGCTCCCTGGATCCGGTCTAGCCCCTCAGTCTCCACGGCGACCTTTCTGTGTATGCCCGTAGCATCGGGCCCAGCCCTGTGATGGCTCCCAAGAGCCTCGCAGTGGAAACCTCCGCCCCAAGTTAGGGCTTACCCCTCCCAGCCTGTCTCTTGCCAAGCCTCTCCCACTCTAGCCAGGAAAACTTGGCTTTGTTCCTCCGATACCCACCGCCCCCCAAACTCACCTCCAGACCTTTCCAGATGAGTTCTCCACCTGGCACCTTCCACTCTCCTGGCTCCCCACTTTCACTATTTACCTCCTACTGACAACGTGGGCCCCGGCATGGAAGCCACTTCCTCCCAGAAGCCCTCCCTGATGCCCTAGTACTTGGCGCAGAGTCAACGCTCAACAGCTGTTTGCCGAACAGCGGTGACCCAGAAGAAGCGTTCTCCTGAGTGGAGAGCCAGGAACGGGCCGGCGTGGTGCCGTGCGCCCTGGGGACACCGGGAGCTGCCGAGGCCACTCCATGTCTTTACCAGGATGTAGCTCCTTGGAGGCCGAGCTCTTGGCTCAAGCTCCACTCACCTTCAGGGCGGGTGAACTCTCGGAAGGTGGGCAGTGACACGACGGTATGCGAGATGGTGTGCACTGGGTCCAGCACGCAGGTGACGTCATTGGGCCGGCAGGACTTGACGCAGCGGACGGTGTCTGTCTTCTCCTGGCGGAGCCTGAGGGGAATCACAGCACAAGGGGCGGATGGGAAAGTCGGAACTGCCCCTCCCCCAGAGACCCAGGTTCCACGAGGAGCCGCAGGTGGCCTGACCCAGAGACGGCCCCACCGGAGAGGCGCGGTGGCCTCCGCGGCCCAGCTACTCGGCGGGGCTGCCGCAGAGCCCTTCCTGCCAGCTGGACCGGGACCCACACTCCGATGTCCATCTGCCCTGGCTGTGGGCAGGCGAAGCTCTGCTGTTGGCCCAACCATATGGGCCGGGCTTCAGTTTCCGCCACTGCAGATTCACGGGCTCGACAAGTGTGTGTTGAAGCCCTACTGGGTTCGAGGCACCAGGGACGCCGAAGCGAACGTGAGAGATGTGGTACCGCCTCCCCAGAGCCCCCAGCCAGGTGGGTCACAGGGCTAGGAAGGGAGGGAGCCGCAGACGTAGTGCCCAGCTCAGTGCCTAGCACGAGGAAGTCAGACCCCCAGTGTCATGCGACAGACTGGGAGTGGGGAGATGGGGGGGGGGTTTGTTTGCCAGACAGATTTTAAATCCTCCTTATTGTAAAATAAAACACAGATACAAAACCTACCCGGAACAAAGACACCGTTTAATGAGTATTAACGATCGCCGCTCAGGTCAAGAAAGAGATCCTCCGTCTGCTACCCGAGACCCCCTCATGTGCCTGCACCAACTTCAACGCCCCTCTGCGTGCCTGCCCCCTCCCAGGACCCCTGTCCTGACGGTGCCAGCGTCGCCCACCTGGCTTTCTTTGTGGTTCATATCACAGGGGCGCATGCCTCGAGACGTAGCCGTTTAGATTTGTCCGTGAGAAAAGCATGCTCTCAAGTCCTTTTTAATCTATGGGTTTCCTCTGTCTCTTCACTTCCCAGAAGTTGATCTGTTAAGGAGCTGGAAGTCTCTGAGCCATAGCGCCTCCTCCAGGCGGGCCCACCTACTGCACCCTCCCGGTGCTACACAGCGAGTTCTGTTCCCTGCGTTTCTGCCACCCTGGCTGCTGGATCCAGACCCGATCAGATGCAGCCCCGGGCCCTTTGGCAAGATGATAGTTGGTGACGTCTCTTCTATCGGGGGGCACCTGGTGTCTGGTTGTCTCTCTCTCTGTGATGTCAGCAGCTGTCGATGCTCAGGGCCTAGACCCGCTGATTCATCGGGGATTGCAAAATGCTGGCAGTCTGATTCTGTCGTTTCTTTTCAGTATGTTAGTTGGAATACTTCTGGAAAGAGCGCTGCCCCTCATACGTGGTCTGGTTACAGGGGGGATCGTTCATAGAAGAAAAGGAAGATCAATGCCCGATTCTTGCCTTGTTTTTACAAGTTTTCAGGATCATGAACTTTCTCTCTCTCCATCATCACCCAGAGCATACCCGTTGATTTTTTTTAAATATCAGTATGAACTCATGGATTTAAACTATTTGATGGATTTCAATCCATTGCAATTATTATCCTTTGCTAGAACTCAAGCTTCCCCCTCTTTGGTCAGAGGGAAGATCAGAGGGGCTCCAGGAATCTTCAGTAGCTCTCTTACTCTATGTCACAACAGGGTGGTCCGTCTCATCTTGTACTTTTCCTTCCCCAGCTACTCCTCCAAAAAGTCTTGGGTTTGTTTGGTTTCTTTTTAAAGTGGAACATGGTATTTCAAGACTACACCCTAGGTACCAGTTATGGTGGGTGCTGCTGGCTTCGCCCTTGCCTCCAGGCCTCTTCCGTGGATTTTTAAAGGTAAAATATATCATGAGTTCCTACTTCTATTTCTAATTCAAAGCAAGAACCACACAGTCGTTTAATCTCTTCTATATTACAAAGGAATCCCTTTTCTTCCATGACAGAATCCCGGCTCTTAGGAACACAGGAGATGATAGAATATTCCACAATTATTGATGTAATTATTCCATATTCTGACACGTTAGTCTCAGAAGAGCAATGCTAAAATTATCACCACTGACATAAGTACTTAGAATAATGTTTGTCTGGCAATGTCCTCCCTACTCTACCTGCAGTTTTTAACAGATGTGCTCTTTCTACATTGTTTGAACGTATAACAATTCACAGAATATGATTTCCGTATAATACTCACTTGGTTGTAGCGGGATGTGTAACTATGCCTAATGCTTGCACAGCAATACTTTTGCATGTTGGTAATACTTTGTGTCCTTTGTGCACACAAGTCTGTTTTGTTGGGTGTATAATCTTGGCCTATGTTTTCTTGAGGATCCTAAGTATTCACCTTCTTCTAGCATAAGTGTTGCTGTGAAGAAGTCTGATGTCAATATAATTTTTCCCCTTAAGCATTGTTGCTGGTTTTACCTAGATGCCTGCTAGATGTTTGTCTTCTCTTTCTTTCATGGTCTGATAACTTTATAAGACTATGTCTTGGTATTTGCAGCTCTGAGTAGGTATGTTCAGGCATGCTGTGTGTTTTCTCAATGTCTATTTTCAAATCCTTTTTTTTTTTTTAATTTCTGGGAACTTCTTTGAGTTAGCATTTTTTAATACTTATTTCTTTCCTTTGTTGTGGGCTCAGTCCTCAGAGAATTCTATTATCTGTATGTTGGGTCTTCTTTGTGTGTCTTCAATGTCTGTCACTTTCTCTTTAAGCCCTTTCATCTCTTCTATTTCTTTTTTGATCCGTAAAATTTGTCTTCTTCTTGGCCACTCTTTCTCTCAAATATTTATTTCTGCAGTTATAATTTTTTGCTATAATTTTAAATTATTTCCTGGGTTCCATCACTTCATTTCTCAATTTTTCCTAATTCTGACTTACAGTTTTCATCCATTTTTTACCATTTTCCTAATGCTTTTACTTTGTTTTGCTATAGGTTACAGTTTTGATCTGGATTTGGAGCATATCTTTCTAGTGTGCCTATATTATGCAGAGAGATGCCATTCCATTCCTTTTCATTCTTTCTCTTACAATAATTTTATATGCAATTCGGCATTGATACTTTTTGGTTGATCATTTCCAAGTGAAATTAATTATCCTGAAATTTTAGAAAAAGGCATATTTACAGCAGCTGTTCTGCTTCACAGAGCTCCCTTTTCTGTCATTTGCAGCAACTTGCTTTCTAATATTCCTCTACATTTACCTGGACTTTCTTTATCTGCAGTCTATTGTCTCCTTCCTATTCAACTCTGCATTTCGCTTCCAACAGCTTCTCCATAGTGTGAGATCCTGACCTTAATGCAATCCTTGCTGGCTCCAGTTCCAAGAGTTCCTAGGGGCTAGATGGCTCCATTCCCTCTAAACGTCCATGAGCTCTCGCACACACTGCAATGGAATGAGTAAAGTGTCTCCCAGTCTCAGCCGCTGCTCCAAAATTTTTCTATTGTATTTTCTAGGGAATGTCTGTTGACTCTTCTGGAGTCTTCCACTGCTTTCTTCTGCACAGGTGCTAAGACCATGCAGGTGGACATGAACTGTATCTTGGGGTTCTTAAGGATATCATGTCACCTTGTTTAGTTGGGCATGTTTTCCGTGATTTGTCCAGCTGTCTGTGTGTTTTGGGTTGGGATCCAGAGAGCTTCAGACACTATGCAGCCACATCTTCCCAGATTCTATGTGCTAGAGAGTTCTCACACATTGTCTCATTTAATCTCCACAGCTTTTCCCTCTATACCACATTGCCTCTCTCTTTAGCTAATAAAACGTCCTATTCTATACCTGGGAATGACAGAATAGGGATTGTATCCATGATTTCAGAAATAAAGCCAGACTAACAATCTGACCAGCACTGACAAATCCTGGAAATCCCACCCTCTTCACAGCATTTGAGGCAGCAGGGGGGCAGGGTTTCAGAGAAGACTCCAGAGCCAGGCTTCCTGGGTTTGAATCCCATCGCCACCTGATACCAGCTGTGGGACTTTGGGCAGGTTACTTATCTTCTCTATGCCTCCAAGTCTTCCATGTGAAATGGGGTAATCATAACAGCATTTTCCTCACAAGGCTGTTGGGAGGGTTAATAGAGTTAAATGCTTGGAGCAGTGCCTGGGCCTCAGTAAAGAGTACACGTGTTAGCTATCATAGCTATGATTATTATCATTATAATAATGACAATCATGATTACTATCATTTACCCTTGGGAGCTAGAGTTAGTACAGTGATCAAGTCAGAAGAACAGAGGCCTAGGAGTTAGTCAGAGGTGATGGCAGTGACCTTGGACACATTCAAACCCTCTGAAGCTTCATTTCCTGTTCAACTCAAGGTCCAAATGAACACTCAATTCCTTCCAATGAATGAAGAAGCCAACACTTACTGACTGCCTACTATATATACACCAGATAATGCCTCATTTGCAATTGCAACTAATCTTCAAAATAACCCATAAGGAGGCTATGAAGCTCTGAAAGGCCAATGACTTATCTATGACTTTGAGTAGTTCATAAAACTAGTAAATGTCAAGGAGGACATTCCAACTCTTCTTTCTTTTGTTATATTTCTGCCCTGCATTATCTCAGCCGCACGAGGTAGGACTATCACTATGTAGCCCCAAGGAACTACAGGGTAGAGATGAGCCTTCAGGTAATGCAGATATAGCCCCTCGTGTGCTCTCAGGCACACACACAGAGACAGCAGAGGTGTCCTAAAATGGAATAGGCCACCTTAAGATGTAGGGAGTTCCACAAACAAAGGAGAGTACAAGCAAACCTGGAAGGTCCGTTGGTGGGAATGTTGCAAAGGGGACTCTGGCAAATCCTGTAAGGTCAATGCATGGCCTCTAAAGCCCTTGAGAGCTTTCCCCCACTTGATACTCCTATGGACATGAAGGAAAAATGTTTCTTCCAACCTGAATAATCTGTATCATGATGAAAGAATAATTGAATGCAATAACTAGATCCCTGCTGTAACACGCTGACTTCACAGAAGCTGATATTTGAACTGAGCCTTGAAAATATCATCCATACCTCCAACCATCCATCATCCATCCATCCAGCCATCCATCCGTCCAACTGTCCATCCATCTATCCGTCAATCATCCATCCACCACCCATAC